CAGGCACTCTGAGCATTCCCTGGAATTTTCCCTTCTCCAGGGGAACATTCCCAGCTCTGCCAGCCTGGCTCCAGAGCAGAGGGGCTCCAGCCCTGGAGCAGCTCCGGGGCCTCCTCTGGGCTCTCTCCAGCAGCTCCACGTCCTCCTGGATTTGGGATCCAGGAGCAGGAGCAGCTCTGCAGGTGGGCTCTCACCTGAGCAGAACACAGGGACACAATTCCCACCTTTCCTTTGGGATCTGCCCAGGGCACAGAGGGGTCTGGGCTGGGCCATTCCAGCCTCATCCACAACATCCCAAATCCCTCTCCCAGGGCTGCTCCATCCCTTCCTTGCCCACCCAGCCTGGATTTGTGCTGGGATTGCCCATCCAGGTGCAGCCCCAGCCCTGGCCTGGCTGAACCCCGTGGCCTTTTACTCGCCCACCCCTGAGGGTTTCATGTTCTGCTCCCAAACCTTTTCCCACCTGGATTTATCTCCCCTCTGTTCCCTTGGATCAAGGCTGTGCTGGAGCCTCTGAGCTCTTTGGGGGGTCACGTTCACACCTTGTGAAAAGCAGGTGCAGCCCCATTAACTCCAGATGGAGGCAGAGCAGTCAAAACCCTTTGGAATTTTCTCCTTCAGCTTCCCAACCCCATTCCGCGGGGAGAGCAGAATTCCTTGTAAAAAAAGGGATTTTTTTTTCCTGTTCCAGCAGCAGGTGGAGTTGGTCACCTGGAGAAGGGGATGGCTCCATCAAGCTGCTGATTCCTGAGGGCTGGGCAGGGATGCCACACGTGTGGGAATCCACGAGGACCTCCCACCTCCACTTTTCCCTTTTAAAAGGCCCATAAACGAAAATTGGAAAGGGCTGGAGGGGAGGTGTGAGATTTTTTTCCGGGGGTCTTTTATTTGCAGAGTTGGGTTTTTTTTTATCCTTAATAGATTTATAATACGCAGCTCCCTTGATTTGTTTCCATAAAATTAACCAGTAAATTTCAAATGGAAAAAAGCCCCTAATAGGAACCACCTTGGCCAAGGCTGAAACGTGGCTGTGTTCAGGAAAGGTGGGCCAGGGCATTTTTCCCTCTGCCAGGTTTTCTCCTGGAGTGCCACATGTTGGAGGGATATAAAACTTTTACTAACGAGAACTTGGAGGAATTCTGACTTTCTAATTGCCCTTTTTTACATTTTTTTTTTTTCCTGGTACAATCTGCTGCTTGTTTTGGGCTCTTAAAAATTGGGATTGTAATTTGGAAGTCTGGGAGCTTCAAACCTCGGGCAAGGAGGGGTGGGAAGGATCCAGACTGGTGGCCAGGGAAGGGCCGGGGGTGGCTCTGCTGATTCTTCTTGGAATTTGCATCCTGTGAATCCTGTCCTTGGCAATGGGGTTTGGATAGTTTGGATTTCCTTCTTTTAATATTTTTGAAGTTATTTTTGAGCCAGGATTTCGTTGTAGCATCCACAGAATACGGCCAGGCTGTTCCTGCTGGGGGCGACCCCGGCGTGTTGGGATGAAGGATTTTGGTCACGGGTGGGACTGGAGGGTCTAGGAGGGCTTTCCCAATCCTTTTTAAGGATTATGGGATTCTGGGATCTACCTAAATCCCGACTTATTGCTGGTTGGGATGTTCATGGAATGGCTTGCGTGGGAAAGGACCTTAAATCCCATCCACTGCCACCCCCTCCCACTGTCCCAGGTGGATCCAGCCTGGCCTTGGGCATTCCAGGGATCCAGGGGCAGCCCCAGCAAATCTGGGAATTCCAGCCCAGCCAGGAATTCCCTGCCAAGATCCCAGCCCAAGCTCCCCTTTCCCAGTGGGAGCCATTCCCTGGCTCCTGTCCCTCTGTCCCTTGTCCCCAGTCCCTCTCCAGCTCTCCTGGAGCCCCTCCAGGCACTCTGAGCATTCCCTGGAATTTTCCCTTCTCCAGGTGGAACAGTTTGTGCTGGAAGGGACCTCAAATCCCACCCCATTCCAACCCCAACACTTCCCACTGTCCCAGGGTGCTCCAAACCCCATCCAGCCTTTGCTTGGACACTCCCAGAGCAGCACAAATGGGAATTGTTGGGAATTCTGGCCAGTACAAATGGGAATTGTTGGGAATCCCGGGCAGCACAAATGGGAATTGTTGGGAATCCCTGGTGGGACAAATGAGATTTTTTGGGAATCCCAGATGGCACAAATAGGAATTGTGTGGAATTCAGAGCAGCACAAATGGGAATTGTTGGGAATCCCGGGCAACACAAATGGGAATTGTTGGGAATTCTGGCCAGCACAAATGGGAATTGTTGGGAATTCTGGCCAGCACAAATGGGAATTGTTGGGAATCCCGGGCATCGCAGACGGGAAGCGTTGGGGTCCTGCTGCCACAGCAGCACCTTGTCCTGCCCAGGGAATGCTGAAGTGGGAGATCCATGGAATTAGGCGTGGATTGAATCCTGTTGGTGCACGGTGCTCATCCCTCAGTGTCCAAGGAGGGAGATCCAGGCTCTGCCTGTGGAGGTTTCTGTTGAGGATGGACCTGGCTGGGTGAACTCAGCCTGGGACCCTCCAGTGGGGTTGAGGCAGAGGGAGAAGCCAGAGTGGGAAAGAAAAGGAAAACCAAACCCTTCCAGGGCATTTGCTATGGCTAAAAAAGCTTTTTTGTACTTTTCCCAGACGCCTTTAGAGGGCAGATCACGTCCAGGGAATGACGGATCTGGGAGGAGCTCGATGTTCCTGGTCTGGATTTGTGAGGTTGGAGCACTCAGAACCTGGAGAGATTTCTTTTTTTTTAATTATTTTTATTTTTTTTTAAAGCATAATTTGAATTCTGCAATAACTTGTGGTGCTTTCAAGGGTGACCATGAAGTGAATTTACAGCAGCGAGATGAGATCGGGTTTTGATTTATCGTTGCAGACTTAAAATCTTTTTAGGCTCGGTCCTAAAACTTGTGGTGTGAGTGAAATATTAGTGATGGATGCAGGGAGAAAAGTCCTGGGAACATACTGTGGGAGAGGAGAATTATGTAATGTGTTGACTAAGTTCATTTTTATGTTAAAAAAGACCACAAAAAGCGGTTTCAGTTGGGAGAGTTGGTTTTGGAGAGCAGTGCTGAGTGCTGAATGTATAATTTCATTTTTCTCTGCCGTAATCTCTTCTGTAAGTCCCCAAACCTCACGCCCCAGCGCTTAGGAAAGAAATGTATTTATCAACAGAATATTTCACATTATCAGAGGGATCTTTGTGAAGTGAAGGCAGGGAAATGAAATTGAAGCTCTTCTGTAAAGTTGAAACTTTTCATATCGGGATTAAATATTCCTTACAGTCACCATGCTGGGGGAGGCTAATTCTGTGATTAATTAAAACCAGCACTAACCAAATAATGTTCTGCTTTCTTCTGCTGCTCCCCGAAGCTCAGGGATCCTGGGGAAGATGATTATTCCTGAAAAAGCCATTTTGTTCTCCCCCAGCTGAGCCGCTCTTTGTGGCTCAGCCCCGTTGGCAGCTGCTTTGTGGCTTTCTCATCAAAAAAACCAGAGGGGTTATTCCCAAACAGAATGAAAAGGGCTTTGTTCCAACAAGGATTTATCCATTTTTTTTTTTAAATAGTGTTTTTTAAATCTCCTGAAGGTGGAGGTGCTGCTGCTCCTGGGATGGGCAGGATGTGTGGGGCTTCTTTGGGTTTTGGGGTTCAGCTTTTCGCTGCGATCCTTCCCAGATTCCTCCAAAGGTTTTGGTGGAAAAGGGAGAAAGGACTGGCATGATCCACGGGGGTCTGTGCACGGCATTTGGCTCATTCCCCCAAAACTTCCCTGTCTGCGGGCAGGACAGACAGGGAGGGACAGAGGGACACGGGGATCTTCTGGGAGAGCTGGGACAGAACCTCAGCAGGGCTGGGGCTGCACCTGGATGGGGCAATCCCAGCACAAATCCAGGCTGGGTGGGCAAGGAAAGGATGGAGCAGCCCTGGGAGAGGGATTTGGGGTGTTCTGGATGAGGCTGGAATTACCCAGCCCAAAAAACCTCCCCAGGGCTGGGCAGATCCCAAAGGAAAGGTGGGAATTGTGTCCCTGTGCCCTCAGGTGAGAGCCCACCTGCAGAGCTGCTCCTGCTCCTGGATCCCAAATCCAGGAGGACGTGGAGCTGCTGGAGAGAGCCCAGAGGAGGCCCCGGAGCTGCTCCAGGGCTGGAGCCCCTCTGCTCTGGAGCCAGGCTGGCAGAGCTGGGAATGTTCCCCTGGAGAAGGGAAAATTCCAGGGAATGCTCAGAGTGCCTGCAGGGGCTCCAGGAGAGCTGGAGAGGGACTGGGGACAAGGGACAGAGGGACAGGAGCCAGGGAATGGCTCCCACTGGGAAAGGGGAGCTTGGGCTGGGATCTTGGCAAGGAATTCCTGGCTGGGCTGGAATTCCCAGATTTGCTGGGGCTGCCCCTGGATCCCTGGCAGTGCCCAAAGCCAGGTGGGACACTGGGATTGGATCCACCAGTTTCAGTGGGAGCTGGAACGAGGTGGTTTTTGAGGTTCCCTTCCCACCCAAACCATTCCATGAGGATTTCACTTTGGTCCCCAGCTCCGAAGCACTCGGCACTTCGGAGCAGCAGCCGTGGCCTATCCCAGGGAAAACATTCCTGTCCCATGGAAAACAGGATCTCGGGGATGTCGGGGCAGCCTTGGTCCAGCAGGTTCTTCCCAGACTCAAGGAACATTCCAGGTCCCATCTCTGTCCCTCAGGTACCGAGCGTGTTCCCAGATCCCAGCATGGATCGTGTCCCGCTGGGATCCTGTTATCCCAGATTTCTGTGGGAATGGCTGGGGATATTCTGCCTGCAGGGCTGGGATCTGAGTTAGACCCAAAGGATCTCTCCAGCTCTTCCCACATTTCCCTTAAACACTTACAGGCTGTCCCGTGGAAAAGCCAAAATCCTGTTTTGTCCAGGCCTGAGCACGCTGGGCTTTTCCTGGGATTTACGAAGTCCTGTTGTTCCAGGAGAATCGGGCCCATCCCAGGGAGGTGCTCTGACCATGGCCAGTCCCTGAGAATCCTTCAAAAACCCAGCCCAGGCTGATAAATGGGAACAAAAGTGGAATCTTGAAAGGAACCTTATCTCCAAATGCCAGAGCCAGGGAGGGGGTGTGGAGCAGAACTTTGGGAACTCCCACGGGATACCAGGATTCCATCCCAGGCCAGGCCGGGGTAACTCCCTGGGGAACTTTGTGAGGTCAAGGGAAGATGGAGCATCCATGAGTGATAATTCCTGTCTGCTCCACGGCTGAGGGAGCAGCTCCTGCTGCAGTTCCTGCCATGGAAAACAGGGATGACAGGCAGGCTGTTCCTCAGGAAAGGAGCAGCTTCCCAGCGGGTGGGAAGGGAAGACGGGAGGAAATGTTGGGAAATGTTGGGATCAGGCTGGAGTGAGGGCCCTGTGTGGTGTCAGAGCTGGGGCAGGGGCAGCTCCACGCCGAGCACGCTCGGATGGTTCTTCCAGAATTCCCCCTGGATCAAACCCTGGAAAGCCCAGCCCAACACCTTCCCCCCTTGGTGAGATCCAATCCATGGCTGCTTTTCTCCTGAATATCCAGAGGGGTGAGGGACAGAGGTGGGGACAACCCCTGGAGAGTCCCCAGGGGTTCTGAGGAGCTCCTGGAGCTGGGATTATTCCCATGCTGGGACTGGAATTTCACTGGGTGCCTCTGGGCTGGGCAGGAGCTTTCCTGCTGCTCCAGGCTCGCTCCAAGCCCCAGGGGTGCACTGGGGGAGCCCAGGGAAGGGCAGGGAAAGGCTGGGAACACCCAGGGGTAGTGGAAGGTGTCCCTGCCCTGGGAAGGGCTGGAATGGGATGAGCTTTTCCAACCCAAACCTCTCTGTGATTCCACGAACTGCCCAATTTTATAATTCTGCAATTCTCTGGTAGAATGTCCTGAGGTCAAAGCCTGAATTTGTCCCTTTAATTCCCCACTTTCCAGCTTCATTCCCTTTTCCTCTGTTTTTTATTCCTGAGGAAACAAAGCCTTTTGCCTGGATTTCTCCTTTTTAACAGTTTCACTGGGAGGAAAAAAAACCAAAACAACCCCGAACCCTGTTCCCTGTGCCATGCCTGGCTGGTCAGGGAGCGTGCTGGAGCAAAGCCTGCCTTGGAAAACAATCCCAATTCCCCGAGAGAGCTCCCAAAGGCAGGCCCTGCACGCTCGGGTGCTCCTGAGCCATTCCAGACCCCCTCACCTGCGAGCAGTTTTGGTTGGGGTTCCTCTGCCTCCCGTACTCAGGGCTTTGCTTGGCTCCCAGTTAGGAGTGAGGAGAGGTTAAAGGGACGGGTGGGAGTTTCCAGTGGAGCTTTGAGTCGTGCTTGTGCCTCCTTGGGCAGGGTTAAACCAGCCCTGGGGTCACAGCAGCTCCCAGGGTTGGGGAGTTCCATCCAGGGGTGCTCCCAGCCGGAGCAGGAATTTTAAATGGTTGGAGCAGGAATTTTAAATGGATGGTAGAAGCGAATCAAAGAATCCCAGTTCCACTCACTTCAGATAAATTGTAAACCATTTTTCTTGCCCAAGAGCTTGGGCTGCTAGAGCAGAGCCCTGAGCTGTGGAGTTGTCAGGCCGAGGACTTGCATGTGTCTGAAATTCCCTGCGGAACACCCATCCTCCTCCTCCTCCTCCTCCTCATCCTCCTCCTCCTCATCCTCCTCCTCCTCCTCGTCCTCCTCGTCCTCGTCCTCCTCCTGCTGCCTTCAGTGCCCTGAGCTCATTCTGGCTCCTCCGCTGTGTAAATGTGATAAATAAACTTTGTAATCGCACCACTGAGCTCCCTTTGAAGCTGCCCGCAGATCTGGATCCCACAGAAGTGTAAATCAACACTCGGGCCATAAAGGACTTCTTCAAAAGTGGCTTTTTTTGCGCGGCTGACCCGGAGGCTGTGGTTGCCCAAGGCTTTTTATCAATCCTCGTGTGATAAATTCCTCCTTGGAAGGGAGAGTCTGGATCATTCCCATCTCGCAGTGCTGGGCTGAGCAGCCTCTTCCCCCAAAAAAGGCTGAGGTTTAATGGGTTTTGTGTGAAAAGCTGAATTAACCCAATTACGGAACGAACTCTGAGGATCGAAATATGGCTGAGCTCATCCCATGGGTTTAATCCCATCCATGGGCAGGGACAGCTCCCACCCAGTGTCCAACTGGCCTTGGGCACTCCAGGGATCCAGGGGCAGCCCCAGCAAATCTGGGAATTCCATTCCAGCCAGGAATTCCTTGCCAAGATCCCAGCCCAAGCTCCCCTTTCCCAGTGGGAGCCATTCCCTGGCTCCTGTCCCTCTGTCCCTTGTCCCCAGTCCCTCTCCAGCTCTCCTGGAGCCCCTCCAGGCACTCTGAGCATTCCCTGGAATTTTCCCTTCTCCAGGGGAACATTCCCAGCTCTGCCAGCCTGGCTCCAGAGCAGAGGGGCTCCAGAATCCTGGAATGGTTTGGGTTGGAAAGGACCTCAAATCCCATCTAATTCCAACCCCAACACCTTCTCCTATTCCAGGCTGCTCCAGTGTCCAGCCTGGCCTCGGACACTTCCAGGGATCCAGGGCAGCACAAACAGGAATTATTTGGAATCCAGTTGGGTCCTGCTGCCACAGCAGTGCCCTTGTCCTCGCCAGGGAATATTGAACTGTAAAATCTGTGGAATTAGGTCTGGATTAAATCCAGGTTGGGAAAAGGAGCAGGGGGATGAGGGTAAATCATGGGGTGAGAGCAAAGCAGAGGGGGAATTGCATTTTCCTCCTC